ACCTGAGGGATAGTTTTCACAGTAAATTTGAATTATACATTTATAACATAAAATTTACAAACAATAAGGGACTGTTAGTCCATCTAGGCTGTCATAGCTACTAAAGTTAGAAAAAAACTTAAAACCAGTCCCTATCAGTTAAGTATTTATCAAGCCTACTCTTAAACCATTTTAAATATACTGCATCCACCACATATGAAGGCAGCCTATTCCAAGGGCTGATCACCCTGTTAGAAAAATTAAAGTGTCTTGGCTGGAGCTAACTTCTATCCTCCCAAATCTTCTGGCACCTGCCCATTATCAAAGGTTTACTAAAATAGCTAGATTGCTCCATTTATGCAGGATCAATAGTAAGATGTTTGAGAAAGCTCTGAAGAATTTCATTGAAGGTAGTTTGAAACTAAATATGCACAGTGGTGATGAAGTTTGGAAAACTGGAAAGAAAAACTAGTAGGACAACTAAATAAAGGAGAGATTTGGAAAAGAAGACAAACAACATAAATTAAAGAATAATTCTAAAGATATACCTATCAGGTTTAAAGAAAAACATAGTAGACATGAGAATAAAGTTAGCTGCTATTATTCTAATGTTATGAGTATTAGGAACAAAGTGGATGAGTTCTTGGATCAAGTTAATATGAAGACTACAATATTGTATGTAAAAATGAAACAGTTACATTTGAAGATCATTGATACTAAGAACTATTTTGAAATTCCTGGTTATAAGTTATCTAATGGTGATAATAGTCTTAAAGATGCACTCTAAAAAAAGGAATAAGGTATAAGCTGCAGATAAAAACACGGCAATCTACAGGTTGACTCTACATGGGTTACAAAGTACAATCAAAGGTTTCTACAATAGTGTTTTCAATTGGCAAATGTTATTGACCACCTGGTCAAACAGATGATGCCAATAGTGCACCAAGATCAAGGTTATTACTTAAACGGATACCGAAGACTCATAGATGAATTGATTGAGATTGTGTAGGAGAGGAAGAGGTTTCTTAACATGATTCCAGATTATTTTTTATGGCAAATCAAATGGTCAGGGAACCAACCAGAGGAAATACAATTTTAAGATTTATTTTTTAACCACTACTGAGGATGGTCACAAAAGTTGACATATAGAAAATCTGAATAAGAGTAATGACTGCATAATTTGGTTTGATATTTTACTAAACATTGATATACAAAAATCAAGTTTTAGTTTGTAACGTTTAGAAAACCAACTTTGAGATCAAGAGACAAAATTTGTCATTAGTGAAGTGAGATAATGAGATTTGAGAATTTTCTTTGAACACCTGCTTTTAATTCAAGAAAGGCATGTTTCTCTGAAGATAAAAATGATGAGTAAGATTAAAATTAATTGGCTTATTAAGAACATACATGACAAAAATAAGGATGATTTATGTAACTATAGAAAAGCTGGGGATTTGGCTATAAAATAAATTAGGAAATACGAACAAGCTTATGAGTAATAGCTGGCTGATAATGTTAAAACTTAAAAGCAAGGATTTTTTTAATACATTAAAGATAAACATAATGTTATAATGGGGATTGGACCCTTAAAAAATGCTGAAAACAAGGTTTTTATTTAAAACAATCAGATAGCTCAGCTTTTAATTATATTTTTTCCTGTTTTTTTTCAATCAATATTACTAACCCTGAACTATCCATAAAAAATTCTGAAATCAACATGAATCATGTAGATATTAATCCCTTGATGATATGTAAAAAGACAGAAAGATTGAAATAAACAAAAACAGACATGTGTTTTCTCCAGGGTTTTGAAAGAAGTCAAATACTCTTTCATTTCTGGAAGATCAATAAACTAATGTTATCCCTATTTTTAAAGGGAGTAATAAGAGTTGCCTTGAAAATTATAAGTCAATTAGTCTTACTTCTGTAGTAGGTAAAAAAGCTAGTAACATAAAAGAGCATCTGCAAAATCATTTTGTGAAATATGATATTATAAGAGATTCATTTATAGGTGAAATCTTGCTTTATCAATTTTTGTGAAATATGATATTATAAGAGATTCATTATAGGTGAAATCTTGCTTTATCAATTTTTGTGAAATATGATATTATAAGAGATTCATTATAGGTAAAATAATATCATATTTCACAAAAATTGATAAAGCAATATTTCACCTATAATGAATCTCTTATAATATCATATTTCACAAAAATTGATAAAGCAAAATTTCACCTATGATGAATCTCTTATAATATCATATTTCACAAAAATTGATAAAGCAAGATTTCACCTATAATGAATCTCTTATAATATCATATTTCACAAAAATTGATAAAGCAAAATTTCACCTATAATGAATCTCTTATAATATCATATTTCACAAAAACTGATAAAGCAAGATTAGAGATTCATTATAGGCGAAATCTTGCTTTATAAATCTGTTACATTTTTTTTTGGATGGTGGAAAGGGTATGTATGTTTCCAAACAAAAGATCAGCTAAAACTGTTTTTATGGTAGCTGTGAGATAATGCAAAAAGTTTGTTATTAACAAAGTCCAGTCAAATTGGACCTTTGGTGCAGTGGTGTGACATAAAGTTATGAGTCAGTGTTTGGGACATTCTTTTTTTATATGTATTAATGATAACAATAGGGGTATAATTGATTAATAAATTTGCTGATGAAATTAAACTTGGGTATTTCTAGCTGTATTGGGGAGTTTCAGGTATTGCAGAATGATCTGAACCAACTGGCAAGTTGACAAATGACCTTTAATTATAGCAAATACAAGCTAAAGCATTGAGGTTACCATAATTTGGATCAAACATTTAATGTAGATGGGAACCCACTGAATAGTGTGAATGAAGAAAATGATCTTGGCATAATGGTAGATAAGTCACTCATGCCATTAGATTCTTGGATGTATTTACATTTACAATCATATTGACTATATTATTCCTCAAAGTCAATTTTTAAGAAAAAATATGTTGAAACATGAAAATATACTGTAAGCTGTATAGACTCAATGATAAAAAAATACAGGATTTTATAGACTTTATATGAAGTTTTTTTGGGCAAACAACCAATTTTTACTCTCTGAACCACTCATAAATTCACAATATTTTTGGAACCAAAATAGCTTTATACATTTTTCCAAAAATACTTACCAATTTATAAGACTTTTCTTATACATTTTATATGTGTGGTTCAGGTTGGTTGAAAATATATAATTTTACTGGTTATTTAAAAAATAATAAGACTGCTTTCAAAATACAAGCTTTAATAGGTTTTATAGGCACACTGGAAAGCCTGTCATAAGTGAAGAGGTTATTAGTAAAAAACATAAATTTATACAAATACTAGTTATTCCTCACTTGACAAATTACGTACAGTTTTGGACTTCTTATTTAAAAAAGGATATTTTATTGGAAAAGTTTAGAGAAAGAGGATTCGGATGATTCCACAGATGGAAGTCAAAATCTCTTACCTTAAAAAAGAAGGGTAAAAGGTGATTTATATTGAATTTCACAAGATTATCTGGGAGACCAATATGATAAACAACTCTGATTTCTTTGTGATATATTCCAGTGCTTCTCAACCATTTCCAATATCATTCACCCCTATAAATTTTTCACAAGAGCTCACTCACCCCAGTTCAAAAAAAAGACAAAAAAGTACTAAATTATAATGCAAAATTCTTTATTATGACTTAAATATACATCAAAGTACAACTAGAATGAAAACAACAAAAACATATGCATTTATCAAACTACAACTAGAATACATAATAACTAATGACTTTTTTTTCTTGAATTGTTGTATAATTGATAATACTCATTCACTCTGCCATTCACACCATCATTTTCATTCACCCTGATTCTGATCTCATTAACCTCATTGAGAAGCACTGCTGTATTCTAAAGATAACAGGATAAGCTTACAATTTAATATTTGGAATAAGACAGGCTATATACAGGCTCCCATTGAAATAGTTGTATATTCCTAACAGGTTAATTAGCTTATGGAATGAGCAACCATCAGTAAAAGTGGAGGCCAGCAACTTACCAGAGTTTACACTGCAAATTGAAGAGTGGGTTTAAATTTCATTATTCTGTTAGCTGGGTGTGTAGGGCTAGCCTTGAAAGTCTCTTGTTGTCTGTATGTTATGTTCGTAACTGTTATTTTTAAAATTAATGCTGATTCTCACAATAAAAGGCCAAAAGAAATATTCTATTTCATTAGTGGAAATACATACAGTTTTGTCATCACTTAAACACGAACAAAAAATAAAAAACTGTGACTGCCACAACCAAACCCATTTAAAACTTAAAATTTTTGTCAATCATTTTTGGGCACGATATTATTTTCTTCTGGTTTTTCTCTTAATATCACACTAAGTACCAAGTTTTCTCTTGCCTATATCAGCACAGTGATTCTATACTTGAGTTTTAATAATTTATGTTACTTCTAAATCCTTCTATAAATTAATATAGAATCCAAACCCATTATAAAGTTTATGTATGAGACACTTTTAAACAATGACTGTTCAATTATCTCTATTTAGGTTTATAATTACAGGAAGATCTTCTATCTTCTAATATTCAACAAGTTTTAGTTGTTTTTTAATTCTATGTTCTACACTACAAATTTACCAGGAATATCTTCCCACAAGTTACAAAAACATGCTTATATTATTTAATCAGATACTCCATTTCAATTAACAATATTACATATTTTTAAAATCATTCAGTTTATTAGACAAAGAAAAGGTGTGTATATTTCATAATGCAGAAAGTTCTCAGCAGGTAAAACGAGATAGATTTTTAAATTGAATGAATGACTGATGAAAATGTTAAGAATACTCCACAGATCTGTTATAAAATCTTGGCGAGTATAAAATATGACTTCTGAAAATTAAGCCTGCACAATGTTCACTAAAACAGCATAGCATTTACATAGTGGATTTACCTTCACACAAATCTTTTTCATGTTTATGGAAAATTAAATGAAAAGATATACATACCCCCACAACATCAATATTACCAACTCCACTGATATCGCTGGTTGGGAAAAATGTTGCCAAAACTAACATTTTACATAACTGAGTAAGAAGATACATCATTCCTGCCTGAACACACTTCCAAAATGCTCCATATTCTGATCTAAAATATTGAAAAATAATCTCTAGTTACATATACTGTTGCAGAGTTCTCAATACCAAAGTTTCACTATTAATGAGCATATCTATTTATCAAACCATAACTGCTAACCCTAAGTTCCAGAAGTATTAAAATAATTTAACAGGAAGCCTACTGCCTATCAACATTCCTACATTTTACAACCCTGAATCAAATCACTTGTAGTTCTAATACACTTTTTCAAAAAGGTACAACTGTTTATCTTCACCACACAATACAGGTTTATTAAACCAGATATTCTAGAAGCCCTATGCACCTTTTTTACAGCAAGTCAATAGCCTTCCATTGTTCCAATAATAAGACTAAAACTGAATATAGTATACATACAAAGTGTGTGCACATGTGTATATATGTGTGTGTGTGTGTGGTCTTATTTGGTGTTTTCAACCTGGATGAAACCTCATTCAACACATAAACAAAATAACCAGGGCAGAGACCCCAAACATTCAGGAGTAGCCATCTCTAATGTAGAATTTCTGACCAAAGACAGGGTACTATGTAAGTAGCACCTCTTGCCAATAAGACTACCCTTAACCAAATAAAATTTACTATCACAGTTATAAAACCCTTCAGCAAAATGTGCTGAACAAATTCAGCAGTATATTGCAGCTTGAACTTTGAGTTTTCTAATACACAACCTGGTAAACTTATTATTCATATTCTTCCTTCAAATGAAAATAATAATCTTACTTTTTAACTCTAATTTTTACAAACAGGTCCCTGTGCTCCCAAATCATTACTATCAGGGAACCAAACATTCCAGACTTTTCTCAATAATTACATCACAATCTTCTCCTTAACAGAACCTACATTCTTCTCTCATAATAGATAAGCACTTTATACTTCTCCATATTTTGGCATTTTGAAGAAAAACAAAAATTAGCATAGTTGAGCATTTTATCATTTTGGCTAAGTTATGTAGTAGTAGTTTAAACCTTCAGATAAGTATAATGCACGAAAAACACAACATATGGTATAGCATTTACATTAACTTGTTAGTTTGATTCTTACATTTTTACATATCTATACAGTATTAAATACATACTAAATACAAAATTTTAACAAAAAAATAGCTTGGATAAGTCTTATATATCACAAAGTGAATTACAGCAATTAATATTACAGCTGGTTGGTTTTCTGATAAAATATCAAGTGCGAGTTTTTTTTTTCAATGGTGGGTATACAAGAGGGGCAGTACCAGCTTCTTCCCAACAAGGAAACTGAGGTGGGCTACACTCTACATTTTGAGGGCATACATACTACAGTGTTTAGGGAGTGAACCAGCTTTAACTAAGCACTGTTCATTGAGTATGGAGGCTACAGGGGAAGCTAAGGTACATTTTGGGGTAGCTTCAGCCCTAACTACACCTTATATGCAAGGTCAGTCTTTAAGGAAAAATGGTCTGTTATGTGTTATATATAACTTTAATGCCTTGACTTAGTTTACATTTAAAATTACATTCATTAATAATAATACAGATAGCAAAGGCCTATATACACCACAGCGGTATACATAAAATAAAGACATTATGTTTTATAATTTATAATATATATGCCTTGTCAGTTTCATGTATATTTTGCACAAGAATGTTGAAAATTTCTTGTAACTAAGGCAAACTAGTTTTTATTTACATAATAAACTGTATGTGATAAATAGAAAAACCCTTCCTTTCTAGAAGAAAAACTAAAAAAGTAAAAGAATGTTCACTCTATGAATCACATATTACTCATATGAACTTGATCAAGTTGATGAAATGATTGGTTAATTACTATACTGTTCTAAGCATTACCATAGATAATGATAATGCTTCGTGTTGACTGTATTACTACCACTTTGTTTATTAACACACAATTTATATACACCAAGAAATAATATTAATACTATAACTTATAAGTAGTAGTAGTAGTGTTAGGTTTAATTAACTAACTTACAGTCCGGAAAACTTGTAAGTGAGAAAGTATGGTACATATGCAAGGGCAACACAGTTTCCAAAATGAAACAGAGTCATTTTTCAGTATCTTTATCAAAATTATAAACAGAATGAAAAAGACGAAATTTAAAATGGTATGAAACTCCAACGTTAATCTAAACTGTAACCATCAAACTAACTTGGATTAGAATGAGAAAGAATCACAAATCCCCTAGCAATGGCACATGTTTTCGATATATTAAAAAAAACACAGAAAATATATTTAAAAAAAAGCACAGAAAATATATTTAAAAAAAAAGCACAGAAAATATATTTAAAAAAAAGCACAGAAAAAAACAGATATTCAACGTAATAATGAAAAATTAAATCATAATTAGTACCACCTTATAAAAGAATAATATGAGGCTAAATATATTTATTTTTAAGAAATTTTTCTTATAGCTTTAAATCAGTGTTAAATTCAGAAGTGTACAGGGGAACTTCTCCCTAATCAAAAATATTTTCCCTGAAATATTTTAACTATTTGTCTTTCTTACAGACGTTATTTTTAGCCAAGACATAGCGGCTCATAGAATGGCTCTGAGTTTCTTTGTATTTTTCAAGTACACATATTTTTAGCTCATAGCTCCATCTCTTGAGTGATTTGAGATCTAATTACAGCTGTGGCTATTGAGTGTTCCCTCTTGTTTCATATTTTACAGAGAGACGTTAACAACTGAAATAGTCGTGGCACATGAGTAATATTTAGTAATGATAATCATTGTTACTATATAGTTATGACATTGTTCTTTCATTGGCGGGTTCTTGTAAATTATTTGGCGAAAATAATCCAAATTCCAGCCCATGCAACCATAAAAAATTAGTTTCTTTTTTTCCTTAATTAAAGTTTGTTTGCAAGCTTAAACATTGTGGTACCTGTAAGCCAAGTTTAGAGCTGTGCTAACTGTACTGCACTAACATAAAAGTAAACTTAAACTTTAAAACTTGTCAGCTGATTGATCAAGTAAGTGAAAACAAAACACTAACCGATTCTCTTTAGCAAGTAGAAATAAACCTTTTTCACTGCCTCTCGTATTTATAATCTGCTCCTCGAATTTACTAGAAAAATTTAATGTCAAAATTTTAAAACTTTCTAGGCCTACATTATTAAACCTTTTTTGGTCTTAATGTCATTTGCCCTTTAGCTAACATCTATATTTCAATATTTAACAAAATTATAACAGACTAAAACAAACAGTCCCTACAACCAAAATAAAACAAATAGAAAAAACTAATTTATTAGATATTGACCGAAATCCAAAATAAAACTTTCAAACAGGTGGAATATAAAGTTTATCAGTTACCAAAAACACAGTTAATAAATACATGCCTGAACAATACAATACGTTAATGAACAATACAACATAAATATCAGTGTTACTAACTATTTCAATAAATAACGGAATTAGAAAAAGAACAAGAAAAAACCTAATTCTGACAAAAACACAATATTCCAGATTTAAACAACTTCAAGATCAATAACAATATAGTGTAACAATCAGAAACAACTTGTTTAATTAAGCTTAAGATGGGGTTTTTATTTAGTAGTTAGATCTTGAGGTGACTAGGTAATTTGCATAATATTTCACACCATTACTATCTGTATGCTACCGCTAGGAGAAGCTTGTGTCAGTTTCATAATACATTCATACTGAAATTCAATTTGCACTAGCTAATAGGTGAGTTAGCACTTTAACAAGTGTAAACTATTTTTAAATAAAAAATAGGAAGTGGGAATGGGAGCACCAAAAAGTAAGAAAACAAGGTAGAAATGGGCAGGTAAACATTACAACACTTGGTGGTTTCTGACAAGGTGCAACCTCAAAGTGGGTGTGGCCATCGTTCTGCCCATTCCTACTTCATTTGATCTTTGTAACTTGGCAATTGTTCAAACTAACTGAAAGGAGTATTTAGTTAAATTTCTCTGTTGTAAACTCAGTTTTAGTAACGAAGTACAGATACATGTATGTAATCAGATTACGTGACCCTAACGAAATGCGTGACATCATAAGGGGAGGGGAGTGTTTGATGTCGGAAGTGAGACAGGAAGCTCCAATAGTCATATTTTGCTTATGGAAGACATTATAGCTATCTGACTGGTAAGAGGTGTGCAAAAATAATAGTATCAATAGTGCTGATTTTTAAAATTTAAAATTTGTTGATTATTTAGAAAGGATTAATTAATGATAAAACTCAATTCACATCTATTAATTGATCAAAGTTCGAAGTGAAACATGAAGTAGGAATGGACACGACGATGGCCACACCCACTTTGAGTTTACACTGTGTCCAAAACCACCAAGTGTTGTAATGTTTACCCACCATTCCTTCCTTGTTTCCTTAGTTTTTGTTGCTCCCATTCCTACTTCCTAATTCTTTATTTAATTTGTTCTTACATTTACCTCATAGCTTTTCTTGGTACTAAGTTTCGAGAGTGATTGTCTTTAGGCTTAACCTTCTTATGGCTTTTCTTAGAGCTATCTCTCGACATTTCCTGGCTTTTACTGATATCTTTGCTATTGTTTTTCTTCCATCTAGCCAGAGTGGCAGCCTTAATGGCCAAGGCTTGCTTCGCATATCGAGCATTACTGTTCCAAATCTTATGACTGTTTTTGCAGTAGTGTTCTCTTTAGTGGGACAGAGACTTTTCAAATTTATCAAAATACGATTTTCTCATTTTCTCCCATTTTGTTTTCTTGAAAGGCATATTTTAAAACTCGCACTGTTTCAAATACAACTTTAGATGTCAATAGGTTACACTTAGTTTGAAAACAATGCAAAGGTAAGTTATATAGCTAATTGTTCTTGTTTTCAGTCCTGAGCTCATGAGTAAAACCGTGTCAGACTTCGGTAGTGGTAACGTTCGTCCTCACGTAGGAGACTTATGTCTTAGGCACTGACTGTTATGAACCCTTGAGTCATATGTATAGAACTGAAAACTTCGCTTTCAAAGGCTAGATCATAGTTTGGACCTAGAGCTAATAAATCTACATAGTTCTCTTTTTTTGTTTTGTTTTTTTTATCTAGCTAATATAGCTGCAAGCTGATCATGTAGTATGTGCACATAAGCAATCGTGCACCCACACGTGATATAAAGGTGGGTTGTTACTTGGAAACTCACAGAGTGTTCTCATAATCATAGAATATAGCTACTAGTGTATTGTTAGCTCGTTAGTAATGTTCTAAAATTGTTATTGTTATTACTTGATATTACCAAGGTTATAAGTAAACTTCAGAAAAACGCTTTTAGCCAAGGTAGCGTAATTCAGTCATGAGCGTTTAGAATTGCATAATGTGAAAGCAGGAGAGAACTATGCCTTTCCAACAACATTAGTTAGTCAGTCAGGTAGATTTTGTGAACTTTTGTTTTTACTCTACTGACTTTCTCAAGTGCTTTGGTCTCTTGTTACTCTGCAGTTGGTTTGTTTACTACTCATGCATATTTACATGTTGTTTGCAGTGTGTTTGATATTTTAATTTGTATTACACATATTGCACATCTGGCCCATTCCTACTATAAGTACCACTATACTTCTGATATAATTAAAAATTCATATTTTTTTGGCACGTGTGTAATGTTCAATCTTAAAATCTAAAACTTTTTTTAAAAACAACGATTATTTTATATACAATTCAATAAAAATGAGATTGTTTCCAGTCTCCAAATTACTAAAATAGTAACTTACTGTACAAGGTTAAAAAGTGGTAAAAACCTCGATGTGACTGGAAAACAATCTCATACACTCTACATGTTTCGAGGTATATCTTGCATCATCCTCAGGAGTGTAATGTTTTGCAAGTGACCCTGAGTTTAAACAGTCCAGCTCACAATGGTATCGAACAGTTGAGTGAAGTGCAACTACAGAACTGTAATATAGTTGTAGCCGATTTGCAGTGACATTTTGACCTGATGGAGAACCAAGCTGTGCATTGGGCTGATTTCAGGGATCGAAATAAAGAGAGGAGAATCTCAGAGAACTTGGCTGCTTACATGAACAATCTGTGCCAGTAGCATAGGAGGGCATACCCTGCAATGATGTTGGAAAATCGTGAGTATACCCTTGTTGATACGATTATTTAGGGGTAACCCAATGATGAGGCATCACTTGAGCATGTGAGAGCCTTGTCACCACAAAAACAGAAGAACTCTCACCCTAACAGAGATAGTTCCTATGGTGACAAAGTTTGAAATCTTGGCTTTGAAATATGTTATAAGAAAAATAAAACATTGGCTGTTCCTCAGACAGATTGCCCTACTCAAGTAAGTGCCTCACACTGAGTTCAAACTTTCCAGAGGGCAAACAAACAGCTAACTCATCCTATCATTGTGACACAACCGTGTTGGCTTCCAGTGAATGGTCGAAACTTTCCTGGTCCTCCCATGATGCTTGTGTCACATATTATGCAAATTATGCTTCTTCCCAATGCCACTTGGGAAGACATGACCAAAGTGTTTGCTTTTGGTGTGGACAACAGTGTCACTTCAGAATGAAACACTCATATTTTGCCATTGAGCACGTGAGGCTAACAACAGTGTCAGAAACGTTGGCAGCTTCCTATAGCTGCTGCTACTTCAACTTTGAGAAAACAAAGGTTCCCAAGATGAGTCTGATCACTGACTTGGAGAAATGAAGCAGACAATTTGTACTAAAAGGTTTGGTGGTCAGCCCAACTTTCTCAGGATTATGTGGTGCATGTTGTATGTGAAGATAAAAAGGCGAGAGATAGAATTCGTGGTTGATAAAGGAGCTGCCAAGACAATGTTAATCTTGTCATGTGTTATGTAATCCATGTGAAACCATTAATCTTGCAAATGGTAACTGGACAGGCACTTCTCTGACTACATCTAGGTAAATAAAAGAAGTCACCTCGTACCTTAGTTCTGGCTTATGATATCCTAAAGATAGGCATATTGTATAAATTCACAGTCAGCTTTACCTGTGCAAAAGGTAAACTGCATATATATATATGAAAAAATCATCCAATGATGGCTTGTCTGGGCCCAGAAACAGTTAATTGCACGAATTTATTTTGTGGATGGAGTTACAGTATCTCCATCTACACAAGTGATATTCTGTTTACTACAGACAAGGCCTACTTTGTTGATGTCATGTAATGCAGGAATAGAGCCACCATCACATGAAATATATGCTGTTTCCTGTCTAGAAAGCATGTAGTATTAGTTCAAACGGTG